GTCATAACTCCAAATGTAGTAAAGTAAAGGGGTAGTAATGCTGTTAGCACGTGGTAGGCGCCTTCGCCATTTTTGCTATAAATTGCTTTTTAATACAGTATGTATTTTCTAGAGTAATACACCATATATAAAAAATAAATAATTAATAATACGTAAGATGTTATGTTTGGACGCAAATATTTCAATAAATAATTTTAGAACCGCTAATCAGTTTTCTATACAAACCGTAATCAAAATTTTTTGAGATAAAAACGATAAACGTATAAAACGTTTGTAATTAAATAATTGTAACTAAACACTAAAGGCTATTTGATGCAACGAGAAAGTAATATTGCTAGTTTAAGACGAGCTATCAAATTAGCGATTTTTTAACGGCAAGTAGATGATTCAATTTATCGTAGCGTAGAACGATCGGGTGGTGTGGGGTTTGGAAAGCACATTTTCCCGTCCGATGCTAAATGTGTCTGTTTCCAAAACGGCAGAAACCATTTATCCGATTGTAAAGAGTAACGAGCACGATTAATCTCTTTACCTTTGGGTAAGATATCGCCACTGTTGCTTGGCAACGAAAGACCTACGACAGACCGACCAATACCAGCCATTGCGCGCCCTTCTGTTCGACACTGCCCTTTGTTTTAAACACATTTATATTTTTAGTTTAACTCATGGTTAACGCATTAAGACACAACAATGCTTCTATCTACAAACAAAATGAAATGCTTCTAATCAATCCCTAGGGGTTCACTCCGAACTGCAGGGGGTTCATGTCAGTGAAAACAAAATTTTTGGGGTAGGTAGGTATAAAACATGAGATGTTTTCATCTATTCAGCTTAAATAGGATCCAACTTACATCTCATTTGACGAGGATGGAATGAAATAATCCACAAAACACAATTGAAATAGGCATATGTATAAATTGGACATGTAATAACATGTTTTGAAATATAAATCACTATTAAGAAGTTGGAGGTCTATCCAAACAGAAAAAAATCATCTTTCGATTCAATTAGGTACTCATGATAATGGAATTGGTTCAATCAGAACTCTTCCCTGATTCACTGGCATTGTGTTGTTTACTTAGGATTTACCTGTATTTTCAGTAGTAGTTATTAGATTTGAAATTACTCGATGAGTTTTAGGTAATTCTTACTACTTGGATCTATATCTCAGAAACTTTTCAATTTTTGATCTGGTATGCCCTTGAGAAAGTCAGTCATACATAAGTAACATCATCTTACTCCAACAGTAACAGTGGCCTATTTTTTACAAGGACTGTGCGGGGTCCTTTTTGAACTTCTCACTATCATCAGTACTTTTCCTGTAGTTATTACAGTGACCGATTTTGCTACATTTTGAATTTAGGGATGTGGATACACTTGTCGCTCCCATTTTCCAACATGGATCATAATTAGCCTTTCAAAAATTTTACAGTAGGTACTAGCATCACTAATAAGGGCACTATTAATAATCGTAGACTTGCAAGTAGAATTACGATGTTGTTCGATTAAGTATTGTTAAATTAATTAAATTATGAGTCATTAAAGAAACGTTAAATCATTTTTCCAGTGGTGGGCATGTCTTTGCAAAATTTCTTCTCGGTAATTTGGTCGATGACTTGTTTTAATATCTGCCGCTTTTATTTAGTATACCTACAGCTTATCTTCAAGCTAATTTTATTTTTCAATCAATTAATGTTAAAACAATAGGTAGATTTAAAAGGTTATTGATTGTTTTCTAATCGTTAACGTGTCGATTTTATTCATCTATTGTGCGCGTCGCTTTTTGTGTTGACACACCTTTGATACGGCTTTTTAACTTTAACATTCCAATGTTGTTTATTTAATGAAATATGAGACAAATAAATGTAGGACGCGATGTCATCAAAACTTTTTTGTCATTTCCAAGCTATTAAGTGCATTATCGCTCCCGTTTCTTTATTGTTTTGTTTAAAAAGAACATAATAAAAAGGGGGTTGTGTCGCGTGGTTGGCAAACGGTGCACTGGTGGTGCTTGGTACGATTGACCCCTGCACGTCACCGTCCAGCACGAGCAGGTGGCACGCTAGTGGCCAGAGGTCACGACAGCCGCCGCAATTCTGCGGTTGACACGACGGCGAACGGACGCCCATTACACCCTCAACCCCTTGGTACCGACCGGTACGACCTCGGGTATCTTTAGCGTCGCAATCACGCGAATGGCCATGGGTCACAGTAGTAAATATCGATCAAACTGGCGAAGATGATGATATACTTACATATCTGACTCGGCACTACCAATGTAAAATCGAATTAAATATTGACGATAACTCTTGTTATTATCATAATATGTAGTTAGATTTTAGCATCTTTTCATGCTAATATTAAGAGTACCTACGAGTGATGAGACTAGTTATAGAGATTCGTAGAATTGAGCAGTTAGGACAGTATAGAATTCAAGAAAAAGCAATCAATAGCTGGATTATTAGTAAAAGGTTGCATTAAGGAAGTTCAATTGCTAGGTAAAAGTGGTTGAGAGAACAATAGAGTTTAGATTGAAAGGAAACAAAGGCATGTACAAGATAAGAAGTTGAAAAGCATTGAAATAGTATTTGAAGTGATACAAAAATTAATTTAAAAGAATATTAAAAAAAGCTTGAGCTTCCGCCACAAGATAAAAGTGCTCTTTCTAAAAGTCTATTTCATTTTTAAGTTACGATAGGATTGACTGTAAATATTACTCATTTATACTTAGATCACACTAATAAATTGACTAAATTCCAATCGTATATTCCATAAATATCAAACTAATTGGAAGATTTTCTAAATAATTCCAATTTTTTTATTATATTTATTAATTA